AGCCGTATCGTACATGACATGTGATGTAGAATCAATTTAAGGTCCTTGGAAAGGTGACCAGAAAATAACAAAATTATTTTATGATCTTCACTTGCACTTGCAATTTTTTTGACAAATTAAAGTCTACCTAATTATATTTTTTCCCCTCATTTGTCTTCACTATAAATGACAACTGGCATGTATTGTTTTCAGTTATTATCAAGAAAGTGGATAGGCGGACTACGGGGTCTATCTAGCCAAAAGGATAGGTGGACCCCGGGGTCTACCTAACAAAATGTTAGGTTTTAGGATGTGAACCCCGGAGTCAGCGTAGTGAAATAAGTAGATCTAGGTTTAACTAAGGATCGGTGGACCCCGGGGTCAACATAATGAAATAAGTAGATCTAAGTTTATTTTATAATAGGACTGGCGGAGCCCGTGGTCAAAGTAGTGAAATTATAAGTAGATAGGTTTAATTAAGGATTGGAGGACCACGGGGTCAATGTAGTGAAATCAGTAGATCTAGGTTTAATTAAGGATTGGTGGACCCTGGGGTCAATGTAGTGAAATAAGTACATGTCGATAGATCTAGGTTTAATTTTAAGGATTGGTGGACCCTGGAGTCAACGTAGTGAAATAGGTAGGTTTAAGGTGAACCCCAGGGTCTACCTAACGAAACACTAGTTAGGTTTTAGAATAGGTGGATCCTGCGGTCACCGTAGTAAAATAAGTAGGTTTAATCAAGGTGTCCCGGGGGTCCACCAATCCTTAATTAAACCTTCTTATTCCTCTATGGCCTTGGTGACTCCGGGTTCCACCAATCTTTAAAGAAACCTACTTATTTCACTGCGGTGACCCCAGGGTCCACCTGTCCTAAAACCTAGTACCAATCCTTACTTAAACCAAACCTTATTTCACTACGGTGACTCCGGGGTCCACATCCTAAAACCTAGTATTTCGCTATGCAGACCCCGGAGTCCACCTATCCTCTACAGGACTATACTATTATAATCAATTTGCAATTTTCATTGATTAGCATTTTTGTTTAAATATAATATTGAATCAGAGTGCAGGGGAGACCGAGGCGCCCGGTCGATTCGGTGGTCGGCTTTTGTAGATCTATGCATTTTTTACGGAAAGCCGTATTACCTAACCCTATTACTAGATCTATTAGTGTTGTGAAAACTTCAACCTCTACAGCTCAGGCATCAAAAGATGCTGGTAAATAATAATAGATCTACGTCCTGAAGTTTCATAATTTATTTTTATACAGAATAACACAGTACACAGTCAGTAGTTTTTATTTCATCGAGTTATAAAAATGGCCTTCGTATAAAAATTGCCTTGTTTTCAGAAGCAAGTTTTAATAGTTCTAGTTCTACCTAATCGATTTTCATGCGAATTCAACCATTTTGATGATCTTTCTTTTCGTTTTAAAAAGATGTAGATCTAGGCCTGTCGGGTGTGGCAGTGCGAATAGCACTGAGTTGTTTAGATCTAGATCTAGATCTAGACCCATCAAAACACGAGGCTTCGTGGCCGATCACAAAAGTCTACGGGGCTTATCGAGGCAAATTCGCCCTGCCGCGAGCACATTCACTAAACTGCCTACTAGATAGAATCTACTACCAAATATTCTCTACACGATCTTTGCTACTACTACTACTAGGCCTACTAGCCTACATGTACTACTACGAGACAGTACAAGAGAGTGTCACTCAGGCAAAGATAGTGTAACTTTGACTCAGCCACGTAGCATACACACTTTTTATACCCCAAATTTAACCCGAAAGTCCATTCGGAGGATTTGACCTTTTCACTTGACCAAAGTGTGCCAAAATGGTAGCCTAGCTTTTGCCCCTCCATGAAGGAAAAATCCGGCCCTCATTCAAACCATTGGAATTGAGCAAAATTTTGCGTTTTGTGCTTTGTTCTTTACAATATTCATTATGGTTATGATTTATAAGTTGTACACTGAGGCAAAACCATACTAAATGAGAAAGGTGCACCATATGAAAGTGGAATGAACTCAGTTGCCTGAAAAGAGTAGTTTGAACATGTGTGGCCTAAATAAGCTAAACCCCCCTCCCTTACCTTATTTAGGCCACAGTCCACTGTGGCCTAAATAAGCTAAACCCCCCTCCCTTACCTTATTTAGGCCATATGTGGCCTAAATAAGCACTCCCAAAAAAAAACTACCTCGCCTCATTTCATACACTCTGTTCATCGTAACTTGTGCACACCCATACACCCCCTTCCTTCCCCACGCACATATATAAACACAAGTTAAAGCAAGGCAACATGCACACACACACACACACACACACACACACACACACACACACACACACACACACACACACACACACATACACACACACACATGAGCACGCACAAACAAGTTTTCAAAATATAATTGCCCAATATCACGGAAAGCAGCAAGCGCGTTCGATGGGGCAACGATCATCTTTTTTTTTTCCTCTTTGTCTTTGTACTACCTGATTTTGGGCCAATCTACCTGAAAATGACCCTGAATCTACCTGAAATGGGAACTCTGAGGTAGGCAGCCCTGGGTTGACCACATAAATGATAGCCTTTTATAACTTTTATTTTGGTACCTGCAAACTCTTTGACTTCTCATACGAAGACCACATTTCAAATGCTGAGGTACAGAACAGAATCACCAACGCAGTGGGGCAGCATGAAGATCTACTGACCACAGTGAAGAGACAAAAATTAAAATGGTATGATCCACAGGACTTGCCAAAACAATCCTACAAGGAGCCGTACAAGGAAAGAGAAAACAGAGAAGGAGATGGGAGGACACCATTACAGAGTGGACAGGAAAGACATTGGGTGACTATCTGAGGAAAGCAGAGGACAAAGAGAAATGACGAGAGCTGGTTGTCTGATGCAGTGATGCCTCCACGGTTGCCCCAACCACGGGATAGAAGAAGAAGAAAAAGAACCCATTGAGATGCTCCTATTTTTTGAGGATTTTACCCATTTTATTGAAACTGCCGTTGGATTTTGCCATTTTGTGGAACAGTAAGCTATCAGCATCAAATGCAATGATAATATAATGTATTATATATTTGGCAACTTGGAAACACTTTGTCACTTTTCACATAAAACTACGACGCTACAGAGTTGAAAGTTGGCAAGTACGAGTACCTTCAACAAGATAGATAGGTCCCCATGACGGAGCCCGATTTTTGATTTATTCATTTCCTGAATTTAGAAATATATATTTGTCAAAAAGTTCACGCCCTTCTTTGGCCTTTGTGATTATTCCACTGTGAAACGAAAGAAATCTGCGTAGCTGTCCTTTACAGCGGAAGTGCCGGAAGTGATATTTCGCGAGGCGCATTTTGTTTTGGGAGTATACATCTAGACCTTCTAATTTTTTGCATCTTTCAAGATTTATTGCTCCATTCCAGTAGAGTGTAAATATATTAGGCCAATGACATTCAGTAGATGTTAATGCACCTATCATTCCTTTCATCGAAAGGGAGCCCAGCTAGTCCTAGATATTTAAATTGTTGAACTTGTTCCATCTTTTCACATTTGCTTAGTGGGTGGTTGGCGGGTGCTCTGGTATAGTTGCTCCTTCTTTCCTATCAAACATCTATCGTCTTTATCTCTCCTCCTTCTTTTTTGTGTTTGTTACTCCCTTGTAACACCTTTAACCGTCGGCACTTATTTATATGACCTTATTGTGTTGCAAGTGCCGGAAAACTCAAACAAAAACTAAACTCATATTTGCTTTTAAGAGATTACAAGTAGGGTTTACTGCTTTTTAAAAAGATATTACCATGCATTCTAATACGAGTGCACTAAACACACACACACATACACACTCACTTACACACACACACACACACACACACACACACACACACACACACACAAACATGCACACAGGACACCTTGTGATAAGCATATTTCACATGTGTTACCACATGCTTATTCATGCGTTTTTGTTTGTTTGGGGTTTGTTTCTTTGTTGTTGTTTTTTTTAACTAGCTGGGCCCCCTTTCGATGAAAGGAATGATCGGTTCATTAACATCAACTGAAATCATTGGCCCATTTTATTTACAATTTACTGGAAAGGAGCAATAAATCTTGAGAGAAAAGTGACACATGTTTCCAAGCTGCCAAATTTATAATAGATGTATAGATTGATTCTATGTTCCGCTTTCGTTGTTTTACATTCCACAATTTCAAAGGTGCGCACGGCTAGTGAACGGAAACCTCACTTGTTTACAATGGTGTCTTTGAAGACGGACTTTCCCAAGATTAGACCTAAACGAAACTAATGAAAAAAACTGAAAATTAAACTACAGGGACTTCAGGCTCCTCAATAAAAATGTGCTCCCTTTAAATGATTGTGAATCACCATGAATTTGGTCAAATTCGAAAGTTCAGTGGCTGGGAAGTTTTAGGCCGGCAAAGTGACGAACCTTCACAAATACAATAATAGAGATGTACACCACTGATGTTGCTGTCGCGCGAGTTTCATGCACTGTCAACACGGTTGCACCGTGGTTGATAAGGAGCGAGGGTTTAATTTTGCGGAAAACCCCGATAGAGGAATGCTCACTGAAACACACCGATGATGAACAGAATGTCCAAAGATAACATTATAAAATAGAATCTACTGTGAAACCGGGAGATATTTTGTTGGTCCACTTCAAAAGAAATATTGTTTACTCCAAAGCTTCTTCAGGTCAAACTCTTTTCAAACGTGTGACGTTATTTCTGGTGAAATGAGAGTAATTTACACGCGTAACAATTATATGATTAATAATTCCTTATAGTGACCATTCATCAAGATATTCAGGCCTTTTTTTTAGTGAACCCCCC